TTGGTTCAGGTTCTATCAAAATATTTGGAGGCCTCATCTGCGTACAGCGTTTTTATAACCTTATTTTGAAAACTTTGATGTCTCTTTTTTTTAGTTTAGTCGTTCAAAGAAAGGCAATGATGAATGATGATAATGTTGCGGATTTTATGACTAATCAGTACTTGGCAGTGGCCATATTTCTTCCATAGTGAAACTTTAATATTCGTTTGGCCTTGTATAGGCTGAAAAAAAAATTTTTTTTTGGAACTGTGTTCCACCAGCTACTTATTAAGCATCACTAAACTGTTATTGCACAAAAGTTAGTACTCTGATTTAACACCTGACAAAATGAAAACCAGGAAAGAGATTTTCTTCTCTTTTCCCGGCTTCTCACAGATTTTGGGTGCCTTGTAATTGTGTTTTTCTCCATGTTTTAAAGGCAAGAATATGGAGGAAAAACTATTAAGATGGTGGAAAATTTGAGAGGGAAGAAAGAGACTTCCAGGGGTGAGATCGCCGCCATTTGTATTTCCTCCTCAGTTGTCTTTGTGATGATGCAATTTTTATTAGGAGCCTGATTTTCTGCCCAGAGTCTTTGATGTATTGTTCTTGAAGTTGCAACAACAAACACCAGGTGTCTCCACTTAGCTGAGCTAAAGGTCTGAAAAAGAAGCCCACTTGGCCAGGAAAAGTTGAAGCTGCCTTCTCTTTCCCTAATGTTCCTGGACACTGCCTGTATAAAACCAGAAGGGCGGGCTGGGGGCAGGGGAGGAGAGTCCATTCTTTCATGAGCTTTAGGGTTAGAGCCTATTGACTCATATGTCAGAACTGTAAGGGAACATTACTTTTGTGTAGAAGTCATGAAGACTCTGGCACTCCTGGAGACACTGGTATACTGGAGAAGAAGTCTAGTAAACCAGGCAGCTGTGGCCCAGAATACATTACTGGTCTCCTCTGACAAGGACTCGCCATCTTGGAAGGCAAGAGGCCAACCCACTGCCATCGAGTCGATTCCAAATCATAGTGACCCTATAGGACAGAGTAGAACTGCCCCATAGCGTTTCCAAGGCTGTAAATCTTTATGGAAGCAGACCGCCACATCTTTCTCTTAAAGAGCAGCTGGTGAGTTTGAACTGCCGACCTTTCAGTTTGCAGCCGAGCGCTCTAACCATGGCGCCACTGGGCCGCCTGCAAGAGGCCAGTACTGGGTATATGGGAGCCTTCTTCTTTTGGGAGAGCGAACGCCAGTGGGGGTCTTCTGCTTAGGGAAAACCAGACTGTGAAGGCAAGCGTCTGAGTTGTTGGCATCAGAGGGCTTCTCTACCAGTGGCCAACGCCTCAAATTCCAAGTTGTAGGTTCCATTAAAATATATTCATTTCTTCAACAAATGTTTATGTACTCCCCACTGTACTCCCTACAGATACTATTCTAAGCAGTGAAAAAAACGACCCAAACCTCTGCACTAATGTACACCGCTTTCTCTTGATGCCAGGGTAACCCTTAATACCAGTGTTTCCCGAAATGATTTTTGTGGCATTCCAAGGATGATGATAGGAGTTGTGCTGAGAAAGGTTTTCCTCATATTCAATTATGCTCTGGAAGTGCTGGATTAAATAAAAGTTGAACAGGTTTATAGACGTATAACTTCTTAGTAGCCTCTATATGCTAATTTGCATTGTTCCTTCCCAAGAGATGTCCTATTTCCCGAATGTATTTGGCCAAGGATTTCTTTTTTTAAAACCTAGAAATAACCTGAGGCACAAGTGATTATTTTGAGGAACATATTTTGCGAAAAGTTGCTTTAAACTGATGGACACATACAACCTTTCCCCAGCTTGAATGAGGTAGACATGAAGTAAGATTTGGAAGGTATAAAAAGGCAAAAAACATAACAAAAAACCAGGGCGAGGAGGCCACCTGTTAGAGAAGACAGAGGTTTTCTCTGGAGACTGTGACTGTAGAAGAGGTTCTGGTCTCATGAAGTGGAAAGCTGGGTTCTCCATCAGGTTCTGTGGCCATTAAACAACAACGTGGAAGATGAGAAGGCCAAGAGATAAGGGTTCTAGGCCCAGCTCTGCCCCTAACTAGCTGTGCAATCTTGGGTAAATGGTGTATCCTTGTTGGTCTTATTTCCTCATTCCTAATAATAAATGTTCAATATATATTGTCATTTAATCATCAAAACAGCCCTCTGAAGTAGGTCGTGTTTTACTCATATTTTACAGATGAGGAATCTGAGATACAGAGAGATTAAGAAATTTGCCCAAGGTCACAAAGCTAGAAAGTGATGGAGCCAAAAATATCAAATGACAATGTTGGACCAGATCATCTCTAAGGTCCCTTTTGAGATCTAATATTGTATGATTTTTAAGAGAGTGAATTTTGCTGTGTTTCATATCTGTTGTGATTGGGCAGTTGATCCTCTAAGCTGAAATCAGTCATTAGTTAACAGATTTATTGAGCATTTACTCTATGGCAGATATGAGCCCAGGCCCTGGGGAGTCCACAAGGAACAAGACAAAGTTCCTGCCCTCAGGAGCTGATAGTCTAGTTGGGGAAAGGAAGGGGACAAGTGAACAGGTAGCATACGTGTGTAACAAAAATAATAATGATCACTAACATTCCTATAGTGAGTCATATTATTAAAATATAGGCTATTAATAATAGTGAAAAGGGGGAAACAACCCAACTATTCATCAACTGATGAATGGATAAAAAAATATGGTATATCCATACAATGGAATATTCAGCCGTAAAAAAGAAATATTGATGCACGCTACAACATGGATGGACCTTGAAACACTAAGCTATGTGGAAGAAGCCAGACACAAAAGGCTGCATATATGAAATATTCAGAATACAGAGACAGAAAGCACATTAGTGGATGCCAGAGGCTGAGGACGGGCTGGGAATGAAGTGTAGGGTATTTCCTTGTGGGGTGGTAAATTGCTCTGCAACTAGATAGTAGTAATGGTTGCACAACACTATAAACGTACTGAAAAAACCCCGTTGTCATCAAGTCAATTCCGACTCATAGCCACCCTATAGGACAGAGTAGAACTCTCCCATAGGGTTTCCAAGGAGCTGCTGGTGGATTCGAACTGCTGACCTTTTGTTTAGCAGCTGTAGCTCTTAACCACTGTGCCGCCAGGGCTCCTGTAAATGTACTAGTTGTCACTAATGGTCATTTTTTTGTTATATGTATTTTATCACCATAAAAATTTGTAAAAACTATAAAGGTAGATAAGGCCAGGCCTATTATTCCAATTTCAGGTTAAATCCCTGTTCATCATCTACAGTATGCAAAAGTGGGTTTAGCAGTGTTGTGGATATAAAGGTGAATAAGATATAATCCCTGTCCTTAAAGATCTTACAATCTACTTATTGGAGGAGATAGAAGATCAACAATGAATTACAATAAGGCATAACTAAATTGGCATTATAACTGCAGAATAGGCAAAATGCTAAGGGATATCTGGGAGAAAGAAACAATTCATTTTCAACTGAGGTTATCTGGAAATTCCTTGTGGAGGAGGTGGTGGTTCGCTGGTCTTGAAGGTTGAATAGAAATCCAGTAGACAGAGAAAAGGAAACCGACAGAGAGGAGATATAACTTGCTGAATGTCATAGAGCAGTGACAGAGTGGAAATTGAATCGTGGGTTCCTATCCTAGTTGGATTAAAAAAACCAAAAAAAAAAAAAACCCAAGCCCATCGCCGTCGAGTTGACTCTGACTCATAGTGACTCTATAGGACAGAGGAGAACTGCCCCATAGGGTTTCCAAGGAGCAGCTGGTGGAGTCGAACTGTCAATCTTTTAGTTAGCAGCCGAACTCTTAACCACTACGCCACCAGGGCTCCCCTAGTTGAATGTATTTCTCATTATTGTCTACTGCCAGGTTTGGGATTTGGCCATTCCTTCTCTGTTCATCGCCGTTCTTCTTATCACCTGACAAACACATACATGCATATGCACACACACAAGGGTGTACACAAACATACACACACGACGCATGTACACACCTGCACACATACACATGCATGCATGTATACATATGTGCACACAAACAGGTACACATGTATACACGCATGCACATACATATACACATGCACACATATACACATGCACACATATACACATGCACACATATACACATGCACACATATACGTGCACGCACTTGCAGCCAGCTACATAATTTGCAAGATCCAGAGAAAAATGAAAATGCAGGACCTCTCGTTCAAAAATTAATACTACTTTTAAGATGGCAACAGCAGAGCATTAAGCCACTTGCGGGATCCTGCTCACAGGTCTCATGCCCATGATGCCCCCGGCTTCTCCCTCCACCTAAACAGTCATGTCCTTACTTCAGGGCTGTGTTTTTTTTCCTCTGGGACAAAGAAACTCTGATAGCTGTTTACCCTACGTCATTTGAGATAGGAAGTTTACCAAGCCAGGCGGACTTAGCAAATGTCTCCGGGGAAGAGGGTAATAAGCTTACAGATACACAGTCTGTGACCCTGTGGCAGAAGGGTTGGTTTGGCCTTTGGCCTCCTGGAGTCAAGTGACTTGGACAGACTTTCATTTTCTCATTGACAACCAGCCAGATTCACGTGGGCTTGTATGTCAGAGCTAAACAGAGTTGCAGTGCTCTCCTCTGTCTCTCATGAGTCCCCTGGGCCACATTCCCTGAAATAAGTCTCCTTAATGATTTGATAGGTCTCAATTTAGCCTCCTTGGAGTTCCTGGACAAGGCTCGGTCTTGGCAGTCTCTCACAGGCAGCCTTCATTCCAGATAGTTGTGGAGACTTCCAGGACAGAAGCAGGGGGAGGGTGTGTCACTAGACTTCTGAAGAGGATTTGCTTGGCTCAGAATTTACCCTTTACAAAAGTTGTGGCTTAAGTCTTAAGTGAGGAAAAGAAGGGAGGGGAAAGTGTAGACTTTCAAAAGCAAATTGCTGAAGGCAGGTCCCTGGAGTAGCATTTCCTTATCGTGGCCACCCTCACCCCTGCTCTCCCTCTGACTAAGTAGGAGTCGCATGAAGTTGGGGAAAGCCTTAAAGACTGTGAGGAAGCAGATTTGAATTCCTTTTGGAAGGGAGGATCCAGAGACGATTGCTGGGTTCACTGATTGCTCCCTTGCTATTTGCAACTGTCTTCTTGTCTCTCCTTTGCAGAGTTGTCTTCTTCAGGAAAGTCTTCTAGCCTTGGTCAGGTAGGACGGTATGGCAGGAGTGAAGAACAGAGATGATATTTAGCAAGGTGGTGCTGATGGAGGTGGGCCTGACCAGGGTACAGAGTATAGAATGGGAAGAGGTGGGACTTGAAGTTTTACACGTACTGTGGACCCAGACTGTGGACTCCTTTGAAGGCCGGGAAGAGCAAATTCAGACTCACTGTGGAAGGCAAGTGGGAGCCAAGGTAGATTCTTGAACTGGGTTGTATCACTGTGAAAATGGCATTTTCGAACAGTGACTCAGGCAGTGAGTCAGGCATTGACACCTCACGCACGCATGTGCACACACACACACAAGTATATACCCTGAAAAGGTATGTCAGCAGAGGCAGGAGCCTCTAGTTGGAGTCCTGGCTGGAGCTGGAGTGGAATAGAAGATAAAAAAGAGGGTTTGATTTCTTAACTGGATTCAAAAGATGAAAATAAGGGAATATTAGGGATCAGGATCTGGATTGATAGTAAAGTTGAGAAGGAAAACAGGTGTGTGTGTGTGTGTGTGTGTGTGAGAGAGAGAGGGTGGGAGCATGTGTGCACCTGTGTGCATGCATACACATGCTCAGATAAAAATCTTAGTTTGGGATGTACTGAGTTTGAAATGATGTTTGGCATCTAAAGGGACACGTGCCCCATTAAAAGGCCAACGAACTTTGTTCCTGTAAAGGGCCAGATAGTAAATATTTTAAGTGGGCCATATTATCTTTGTTAGGAGCCCTGGTGGTGAAACGGTTAAGTGTTTGGCTGCTAACATAAAACGTTAGTCGTTCAAACCCACCCAGCCACTTTGCAGGAGAAAGACCTGGCAATCTGCTTTTGTAAAGATTTCAGCCAAGAAAATCCTATGGGGCAGTTCTAATCTGTCCCATGGGGTCGCTATGAGCAGGAATTGAATCCAAGGCACCCAACAATCATCTTCTGTTGCAACTACTGAACTCTGCTGTTATAGGACAAAAACAGCCTTAGGCAATATGTAAATTAATGGTTGAGGCTCCATTCAAATAAAACTTTGTTTGCTAAAACAGGCAGCAGGCTGGATTTGGCCTGAAGGCTATAGTTTACCCTCCCCTGCTCTAGAGAACTGGAGATATGATACAACCCTAACTTGTTGTTAGGTGCTGTTGAGTCAGTTCCGACTCTTAGTGACCCTATATACAACAGAACAAAACACTGCCTGGTCCTGAACCGTCTTCATAATCATTGTTATGCTTGAGGCCACTGTTGCAGCCACTGCATCAATCTAGCTCCTTGAGGGTCTTCCTCTTTTTCGAGGACCCTCTACTTTACCAAGCATGATATCCTTCTTCAGGGAATGGTCCCCCCCACCCCACCACTGATGACATGTCCTTAAAAGGAGAGAAAACATAGAAGTCCTTTAAAGGCCGGTGTTGTGATGTCTTTAAGAATGATGAATGTTCAATACTCAACGGGAATCTGTAGCATTGAGTGAGACTTCATTCATTTATTCACACATGCAACAAACATTTTATTGAAAATCAACTAGGTGCCAAGTGTGCTCACCTATTGTCACAACCACCCTTCACTGACAACTTTGTGAGGTAGGCAACTGCCATTCCGATTTATCAGATGAGGAAACATTGGAAGCCCTCAGTAAGACTCCTGGAAGTTGTTAAGCTTTCTTCTTGACTAGCGAGGTTAGCCATTCTCTGGGTAGAGTCCTTGTACTCAGGCAAGAATACCAGCTAGGCTCAATAATTTGCATTAGGCAATGTCAAATTTAACATTTGCTTATATGTTGTCAAAATTTTAACTCTGCACTCAATCAACAGTCTTTTAGGACAGTTGCATTCTATGCTCTTGCTGGAGAGTAAGGTCTTAAAATTGCTTAATACCTATAACTTTTTGATGTGCCTGGGAGAGAGAAGAATCGAGGGAAGATAATTTAAGCGTCATGTAACTTGCCCATTTCTCTAGATTACCTTTTTTTTTCCGCTTTTTTTCTTTGATCAAGTTGACTTCTTGGTCCGTCATGAATCTTCCTCATGAAATTCTATTTCGAGTTAACATCTTCATCTCTTAATTAAGATTGCTACAGAAAAGTGTGTATTTTGCTCCTGGTTTAGCTAATAGTTTTTACTGAAAATATTGTTTATTGTATCTGCCCACATATTATTCCTTGTGAGAAAATTATTTCAGAGTTTGACATAAGAAAACTCTTCTTATGAGAAAATTTTATTCTGAGAAAATGGTTGTGTTTCTTACCTAAGAAATCCATGCAATCAATAATTGTATTTCCCTTTTTGATTGGGCTGCTAGGAAGCTCAGAGCCATGTTCAAGGTGCAAAGACAGCAAGTATTAACACTTATCATCAACTTGCTTTCATGTTTCTTCAAGGATTCATTCCATCTTTTTGTTCCTATTTTGTTTATTTTAAGCCCCTCCCTCCTCCTCCCTAAAAAAAAAAAGCTGCTTCAAATACTTCTTGGAGACAAATGAGTGTTTAAAAAATTATTTTAAATTGAATTGATTCAGCATCAAGGTGAAGAGTTTTTCAGGCAGTCAAGGTAGTAACCTACGTTTCCTTAGACAGGAAAAAACATCGAAAATGCTTTATGATTACGAGACAATTAGTTATTTGCTTGGCTAACTCTTAGAAGTCACATGGTGTTTGTTCTATGCTGCCAAATTATTTCATGTCTGCTGAGTGACCTGCCTAAACAGATGATTGTATACATGTGCCCTAACACTAGGTGTTGGATGATACACTGAGCTGGAAAAATCTTAAGTCTTGAGTTAGAAGATCAGAGAATTTTTTCAGTTCTGCTACTAACTACTCATATGACTCCAGGCAGGTCACAGAACCTCAGCTGGATGATTCTGAATGTTACTTCAAGTATAACCTTCCAGAATCTATTACATACCTGCTGCTGTCTGACACCCCCTTGCATTGTTATCAAAGTGTTCTGCAAGTAAGCTGTATTTTTCTAGGAAGAAGGCAAGCATCTGGGGGTCAGGATCAATATCTGGACTAGGTTCTATGTCTATGCTAAGTATATCAGTTCATTTTTATATGTATTCATTGAGTTATATATATATATATATATATATATATCACTGTTACGGATTAAATCGTGTCCCTCTAAAATGTGTGTTGAAATCCTAACCCTTATACCTGTGGATGTAATCCTGTTTAGAGATAGGTTTTCTTTGTTATGTTATTTAGATCATACTCAAGTAGGGTGGGTTCTGAATCTAATCACTTCTGAGTTATAAAAAGAGTGATTAAAAACAGAGATAAGCATACACGAGGGGGTGGGGTGGGGGGTGGTGGCGTAGGTGTGTGGGGACAAATGCCATGTGAGGATTGCTTATGAGCCAAGGAACCAAGAAACACTTGGAACTACCAACTATAAGGAAAGAACCGACACAGCCAAGACCTTGATTTAGACTTTTAGCCTCTAAAATGGTGAGAAAATAAATACCTGCTCTTTAAAGCCACCCACTTGTGGTATTTCTGTTATAGCAGCATTAGGAAACTGAGACAGCCACCTTATTTGAAAAATATTGAAGGTGACTTACAAAGATACATGCGATAAAATAAGATACATTTAAAAGAAATGATGAAAGGATTACACAGAGGAAAAACAAGACTGAGACTAGAGAGATGAGAAGAAGGTAGATAGATAAGCAGGTAGGTAAGTTGGTAGCTAGGAAGGTAAGTAGATAGACACCTGTTGAAGAAAACACCAGCATCCATCTGCCTTCAGAGAGGACATTTTGTTTCTGCACAAACACAAATTGCCTTGGAAACTGAAGAAAAATGGAATAAGAATGTGAAGAAATCTCTTTGTCTTAAACTAAATTTAACTACCACATGATAGAAACATAGCATATATTGATTGAGTGTTAAGTCAGTTGCTGAGTCATTGATCTATAAAGGTACTTCTTACTGGATGTGGTAAATGGAAATTCCTTCAGTCAAAAAAGGGCACAGTGGAAGTTCAGGAGAGACTTGCTTCAGTGGGACAATGAGAAGAGAAATTCGTGTTAGAAGGAAAGTGTTTCACAGGGAAGATATTTTGGCTCATGATGGCTGCCTCTGGCTCCCACAGAATGAGGGATTGATTCAGGAGCAAAGCAGAGAGTAGCAGCTAAAGTGAAAAACAAGAAAGAAGCAGTTTGGGGGGAATTCAGCAAAGAGTACTTCTTACGAAATTAGTAATAAGGTAATATAAGGATCGTTCCTTTTTATGGGCAGTATTCTCTGGTGAGCTCTTCAGATGGAAAATTCTCAAATACTGTAATGCACTGATATGAAAGATTTATGTAGCAAGAGACCTTAAAAGACAGCAGAAGAGATTTGAAATTATGAAGGGTTGGCAATCCTGCCATTAATACTTCATTCATTTAACAAATATTTATAGAGCCCTTACTGTGTACTAGATGCTGTGCCAATCACTTGAGAAAATGGGAGCAAGGGAGCAAATCATGAGTAATACACCATATCTGTCTTTCAGAAACTCATATTCTAATGGGTGAGATGGTGTGAAATAAATCTTATTAATTGATGAAAAATATTTATTGAGCACGTATTATGTCCCAAGGCAGTGTCAGGTACTAAGCATATAGTGGGAACTAAAATGAATGTGATCCGCTTTGAAATGTTAAATTAGAAATCTGTAGATCAGGAGTTATAAGAGTTACAATTTTTTTTTTCCTATCTCAACAGAGAATTAACACATAATGACACAGGCTTTGACTGGGGAGACTGAACAGCAGAGATTGAACAGGATTAGAGAGTGTCCAAGTAGACATATAATAAAGCAATAAGGAGAGAAACAGGCCAGAACTTTGAGGTTCTTTTTCTCTCCTGGGCTATTTCCTGATATACTTAAAAAAAAAAAAAAAAAGAAACCAAATCTGTTGCCACTGAGTTGATTCTGACTCATAGCGACCCTATAGGTCAGATTTTTTACACAAATAGTAAGGCTTTCTTTGTCTTGTTGATTGAAGTTGTTGGTTA